TCCCAATATTATTAATGCAGTGTGGGATCATCCTGACAGAGAATAGAACAAAAGGCAGCCAACATCCAAAGAAGAGCTTTGAATATCCTTCAAGAAGCCTGGAGAACAGTTCCTGAAGGCTACTTAAAGAAATCAGAAGAAAGCTCACTAAGAGAGTTCAAGCTGTGTTGAACTCTGTTAGGCAAAGGCGGTCACACCTTGTGTTAATTTTCCAGCTGGTTAGAATTGTAAAAATTCTGTTATTCCACATATGACTGCACACTTCATTAACTTCCTAAAACCCAAACTCTTCCACGGCATGCATTTTTAATTTCTCTTTGATATTTGGGCTGATTGGGACCCGATGAACATAAAAACAAAGAATTACCAGATTTTTTTCTTTTTACCTGATTTTTTGTTTCTCTAAGAAAAATGAGAGCCACATATTCGTTTAAAATTTCGATAGACCAGTAGCAGTGTAATGTACTCATAAGTGGATATCAGGCCCTTGTAGAGCAAAATGGAGTATTTTGGTCTAAATAACCCAAAATGTGATGTCTACAAATGTGGACGCCAGGTCCTAGGAGGTTAAATCACTGCAGAGTACTGCAAACGCCAGTGTTAGAAGTAAGTTCTCCAGACTGTCCATTAAGCCAAAACACAGCACCTTCTCTATATAGTCATCTGCCAGGTATCATCATTATCATCATTATTATTATCATCAATATTTCTTAGTCTATATTCTGCCTGTAGTCTTTTACATTGTTTTCTTGCGTTCTTTATCAACTAGTCAGTTATATCCATATATAGCATTTGTTCTTGTTTTATACTTGTGCATATATGCTGTTATGCTTTGTTCCATACATTTGTATATTTAGATTGTTATTCATGAGAATTGTGAGATACTAATATGGTGCTAATGACACAATAATACTTAAATAATTGTTCTTCTTTTACTCGTTACAGATTAATCTGTGTGCATTTTTAATGTTCCCTTTATATTGTGAATTCTTCTAGCTTCAGTAATCCTGAAAATTTGCAACAATTTAAATATTTATTCCACTACTCTCTGTTCTTTCTCAAATAGCTAAAAGCGCTCCACCACAATCTTTTCTGTTCTGTTCTACAGAACAAAATCACTCCACAGTGACAGTGTAAGCAACAGCTTACCTGTGTAAATGAAAGAAAGAAAAAATATTTATTATATACTAAACTGAACAAAGTGTTTCAGTTTTATGATGCAAACCTTTTTCTTAATGTGATACCAGTTTTGTAGATATTTTGCTCCCATTTTAGGATGTTCAGAAATCTTCTATCAGATCAAAATGTTTTATCATGTATTTATCGTTGTGCAATTGTAGTTAACGGTGGATGTTATTGTTGTGTTGCCTGTGTTTTTGGATGGAAGAGTGTGAAAGACATACAAAGGCAGGGAGAGGGAGATGGAGGTTCGATTGTGAAGGTGTTGCAGTATGTTTTTAGGCAGAGCAGAGCTAGGCTGCAGCGGTATCTCTCCAAACAAAGAAGCACTTTCCTTCCCCTTCTCAATTCAATAGCTGCGTGCATGTCTGCACCAGTGTGGGAACGGCAGGTTAACCACAACACAGTCAGTACCATTGTTCTTCTTTATTTACTGGCACTCCATGAAAATCAAGAAGTGGTAAAGCCAGGCATGCATAATTATACTATTAGACTGAAAGCTGCTGTGACCGCAGAGTTGTAATTATTATCTATGCACTGCGATCATGTTTGTATAATGGGTGACACATTAGCAGAGAGACAAAGCTCGTTCTGAGACTTTTAGTGTTTTAGTGTTAAAGTTTAAACAGGGTTCATGTTTTTTTTCTTTTTGTTTGTTTTTTGACAGGCACCTTTACCTTTTCGCTCATTATGGTTTAGATAAAACTCTTTAAGACTTAATATCATGTGGATTCTACATGGGTAAGCACAAAACATCACACTTCTATACTGACAGTCTGTCCTTTGAATTAATGTGGAATAAAATGTCATAAATAAACGTAAATATCTACTCCTGAAATGAAGCTGGTATTTGTGTCGTGGCTTATTTTCTAAAGGTCTGCATTGGTGCGAACAGGCCAGCAGACGGCAGAATAGAGCAGTAAATTAAATACATAAGGAGAACTGGAAAACTTCTAACTCTCTTTTTGTTTGTTGATCCAGCACTCAAGAGGTTTAATGTTTTAAACGTGATAGATATGCTCTTTGAGGGTCAAAAGATCAAAACTGGGATAAAATTATAAATATTATATTTTATTGCTGTACATACATACATACACTCTTTTCTGAGGTTTCTAGTATTTCTCAACCTTCTCGTGTTCCTCCTTCTTGTCATTCAGAACCGCTACATCTATCACTATCACAGACTGCAAAAGTCTTGAGGAGCCCCGCTTTTCTTTATAGTTCATTTCCATCTAACTTGTATTTTTTAAGTGGCCTTGAGTTCTTCAGGTTTTCTGAAAATCTTTGGACACTGGTTGTTTACTCATTCATTCATTTTCCATCCAGTCCTTGTACGTGACTATTTTCAGACATTGTTTTTTGTTTGTTAAGCAACTTAACACTAACATATAACTCTAACTAAAGGGATGAACCAGCGGTATGTCTACACATAACAGACAACTATGCAAAGAACAAATTTTAAATTGTACCTTTTAGACATTTTGTTAGAAACAGTTTGCCACAGAAACACAGAGACTATTTACATTTTTTTTTAGTTGAATCTATGAAAAAATTCCAATTATATCACTAACAAGGTGATTCTCAAGATATACTTGGTATATCTCAGCACGGTGTGCAGTTTCTCCTTAAAGCATTTGAGGTAACTGGACAAATGTAGGACAAAAAAAACCAAGTGGCAGGTGTGTGTGTGTGTGTGTGTGTGTGTGTGTGTGTGTACACGTGTGTGCGTGTGTGTGTGTATATACGTGTGTGTGTATATACGTGTGTGTGTGTACGTGTGTGTGTATATACGTGTGTGTGTGTGTACACGTGTGTGTGTGTGTGTGTGTGTGTGTGTGTGTACACGTGTGTGTGTGTACACGTGTGTGTGTGTGTGTGTGTGTACACGTGTGTGTGTGTGTGTGTACACGTGTGTGTGTGTGTGTGTACACGTGTGTATACGTGTATACGTGTGTATACGTGTATGTATATACGTATGTATGTGTATATACATACAACTCGCATATAACTCTAAATCTACAGTAAACAAACTTTATGACTAAATTGTCACAATTCAAGAAGCCCGGGGAACTATTCCTGTGGACAACTTACAGAAATTACAAAAAAAATAGCACTCAAGATGTACTGAAGAATAAAAGTGGTCATGCCAAATATAGACTTTGAAGCTGGTTAACATTGTGCAAACTGTTAGAATTGCTGTATATCCTGTATTTCTATGTGTGCCTGCACATGTTTCAGTTAATTGTAAGCATCATATAAAGTAAATGTGTGGTGGCAAACTTTTCCCAGTGCTTTAGAGAATCAAAAACTGTTTAAAATACCTGAAGTGAACATGATGAAGTCTGTGAAGGTCCTCAGTCATCCAGGTTATGGTAGTATAAGGCCCTCGGAAAGAAAAGCGGCTGGACCAGAAGAGTCCAGACGCTTTTCAATACGGTGCATTACAGTGCATTACCTACACATTACTAGTTAGCATATTACTAGGTAAAGCTTTAAAATAAATAATACGGAGTACAAAATGCAATGTTTTCACACAAAATTATCAGAGTAACAGCTTGAAATTGTGATATTTAGATACAACGAATCTCTTTTCAAGTTCAAGTTCAAGTTCAACTTTATTGTCACTTCAACCATATACAGTTTAAAAATACACAGTGAGGTCGTATCCATGCTCTCATTCAGTGGTGTTGGGGATTGAAATATTAACAGTACTGTCATGGTCCTGGGTCGTGCGACCCAGTGTTTTGTGTTTAGTCTATTTTGATGTTTATTGTTTGTTTAGGTTTAGGTTCATTAAGTTATTCCAGCTCATTTGTAATTATATTACCCTTGTATTAAGCCTCCCTTGCCCTTCATGTGTTTATGTCTGTGTGTCTTGTGTTGTCAAGTTCATGCTGTCGCTTCTGTCATCTTCCCCTGTACTCCGTCTCCCTGGTTTGTGCGTCTACCTGTCATGAGTCATGTCTGCATGGTTATGTTTAGTTCATGTCATGTCTAATCTCCATGTTTCCTGTTTTACTTTGAAAGTCTGTATTCAATGTCAGTGTATTTAGTTTCACCTCTTCTGTCCTGTCGTTAGGTTCATGTGTGTCAGCTGTGCTCCCATGTGTGGCCACGTCCCCTGATCATTCCTCATGTGTATTTAGTCTCTGTGTTTCATTTAGTCTGTGTCGCGTCGTCTGTGTTCTCACCTCCATGTTTTCACGGTCAGTCCTTTCAGTGATCATCTTAGTCTCTGAGTTTTCTTAGTTTGTCACAGTATTAGTTTTCCCAGTTTAGTTATAGTCTAGTCACGCTATCCCTGCGTTGTTTGTACACTTTGTCTTCAGCCATAATAAAGGCTCGCTTTCTGTTAAGTTCACTCCCGTCTACTCACTTGTGTACGCATCTGGGTCCATTACACACACCACTGCATGGTCTGTCTCTGCAGACCGTGACAAGTACTCTACATGGACTGTTCTGGTGGGGAGTACTGGTGGTGTGGGTGTGATCATAACCTGCCTTCAATATAGACATATGCCTGGACAGAGCGATACATGGCGTGCAGGAACATGCAGAAACATAAGTAAAAGGGCTTTGACTGCAGGCTTTATAGATGTTGTGCAGAAAAACTTTTATGGCAAAAACGTTTGTGAGATGCTGATGCAGTTTTTGGGCTTTCAGTCCAATCGCTGCTGCCCTGTACTCTGAAACTTTCCATTTAGTGTGTAATGTTTATGATAATGTGCTTTTCAGTGTTGCTAAAACAATGACAGTACTATTTACAGAGGAAGTGGCATTTTGTCTAATATGGTGAAGTAATGACACACACGCACAAAGAAACCCTTCAAGTATGGGGAAGTTTAAAATTGCACTTAAAGTGATTTGTGTATTTCAGGTTACATTTTATTGGATACATTTCCTCAGAGATCAAACAGAAAAACAAAGGCCACAAGCTCTGCTGTGAGCTGAGGTAGCACAAAACGAATTAAAAAACATCAGATCAGTGTGTCTAATTAGCAAACAGCGTTAGAGAGTAAAATCCATTAATTGGATAGTGATGTGGTGGAATATTTAGTTTGGAATAGATTTAAAAACAAGAGAAAAAATGTGCTGAAAGGTGGTTTGGGGGATTCAGAGAGAGGTTTTCTACTTTCTGCAGTACATCACTGCACTATATGCCACCACTCCCACAACTGCTACTAATGCAGCGCCTCCATAAAGCAGCTCGGTGGAGCTCAGAGGTTTGGTCTTGGGAGCAGTTGGCCGTGGCTGCAGCTTCTCTGCAGGCTCCTTAACTGAATGTTTATCCACGTCTGTGAGGGGGATCTGTGAAAACTGTTGTTGCCCGACACTTGCTGCTGGAGGCTCCGGTGCAATTGGTGCTAGAATAGAAGGAGGGTGGAGGCCCTGAATGGAATACAGCTCCTCTACTTCAGATGTTGTGGTTGAAGGGACTGGGGTGGATGTTGTGGAGGGGGGGTCGAGCTTAACAATAGGCAGAGGAGGCAAGGCCATCGGGGGAACCACGTGCCTAAACTCTCCTGGCTCACGCTCCATATAAGGCTCCTCTGCTGACACCAGGAGCTCCTGAGTTTCTGGGGCCTGGAGGTCCTGCTCCTCTTCCCTGAGTGCCACCAGCTCCCTCTCCCCACCCAACACACTTAACATACTTGTTTGCATCTCCTCATCTTCTTCCTCCTCTTCCTCTGCTCGCTTCCCTTTCTTCTCTGCCTCCTCAAGCATCTCAGCCTCGTCCCGCTCCAGGTGGACCATGTCAGAGTTGGAGGAGTGGTTCTCCTCCCCTGTCAGAAGTGTCCCGTCACTGCTGTCGAGGCTCTTGGTGTCCTCGGGGTCTACATCGCCCATTGTGGACCAGGACTCTGCCAGCAGGCTCTCACTCTGCCAGCGTGCAGGAGTTTCTGCCTGAGTCAGCAGTGCAGCAGAAGCAGGGATGAGGGTCTCTCTGCCTCCTCCATCCCCCCTGGTGGGCTCGAGTGGGGCCTTTCCCTCCAGAATGAAGGCTGGCTGCAGAAGGGACAGAGAAGATCACAGGTGGGACAAAGATTCAGGTAGACTCACCAAACTATCACACCAGGGTCAAAATTTTGTATAAACATGGAAAGAGGGATATTCTATATCTTTTATATTATTTATGGTATAACTTTGGGCCCCAAAGTACCAACTGAGAATCATTTAAACATAAAAGCCTGAGTATTGATGGTGACCATGTTCAACCCATTACACCCGCAGCGTACCCATCTTCTGATGGGTGCTTCCAGCAGGCTTAGATACCATGTTACAAGGTTCAAATGATCTCAAGCAGGTTTCTTGATGATTCAATCATAAGATCTCAATCCAATCGAGCACTGTTGGGAATGCGGTGGAACAGGAGATCCACATCATGGAGGTGTAGCCAACAAATCTGCAGCAACTGTGTGATGCTATCATGTTAATATGGAGCAGAATTGGTGAGGAGTGTTTACAGCACTTAGCTTGATCCGCACCACAAAGAATTAAGTTAGCTCTGAAAACAGGCTCCCACAAGGTGTACCTGATAAAGTGGATGGTGAGTATATGACGCATTGAAAATAAAACAGGACTTAAAATAAGTGCATTGAAATCCCATGTTAATCACTGATAGGGTCTCTTCTTCAGAAGTGTATTTACCTTCAAGTACATTTTGCTTAGGAAACCTTTGTGTTTTAATAAAACCGTAAATCCAGCACAACCCTTGTGTCTACAATATTTGTCTTAAGTGGTGGTAATTCCTACGTTTATTCAGCTTTACTTGTTCTGAATATGCCAAAAGTCATACTCAAGATCAAGACAGTAGTTTTTTCTTTTTGAGTTGTAAACAAGTCATGAAGGTGCTAATGTTAGACATAACTTTATTTTCTTTACTTCAAAGGACAAAAATACCTCCACTTCCAGGCCTGTGATGCAAAATGTTACCAAGAGGACTGTGCTGATTACATATTACCTCAGTTATTTTCAGATTAGCACCTCGTGTCTCAGCTTAAATCACAAAATTTGTGCTCACTGTTCTGGATGCCTTTATTTAGAATTTAGAATCACAATTCTTCCACTGTGTGCACCCTTAAAAGTCTGTGTGGTGGTGGTAGTACGATAAAGGACACCTACAGAGAGACTACAGTGCATGCTGCTACAGGCCAGAAAAGCACACACTGCTCCAAGTGGGTCCCACTTTTTGGAAAACACAGCCTCATGTCTTCACAAAGACATGTAGTTACTGATACTCTGCAGCACAGCCACAGAATCCCCTCATGGCTGCTACTGTTACAGATTTTACATGTCTGTGCTCTCATTGACATGAGTGAGGGTTGTGATTGGAAAAAGTTGCTCACTAGCTTGTCGTTATTGCAGCAGTCTGTGGCTATCTATAGCCTCGACCTGCATATCTTACTATGTTTAGACACTGTATACATCTCCATCTGTCACCCGAGAGTGGCAGCTCTTTTAGTGATTTCACATGGCATGAGAATAGGGCGAGAGTAGTGACACGAAATGGAAACGATTATGTCGCAGTCTACCTCTAAATTTAAAGGAAATGTTAATATATAATCATATGAAATCAGAATTTTGGAGAAAATATACATTTTTGATAATGGTTAGCACTGTTGTGTACGCATGCATTCAGCCCGAATGTGCCACATAGACTGAAGGTGACCCCCCTGTTCCCAGCTCAGCTTCGCCTGCACAGATTTGTCACCCTCATGCCAGTCCCAGAATAGATATTTTTAGCACGTCTGTGTGATGTTGTATCACATTTACAACATGTGGCCTGTCTGCGTGTCTCGCTGATTTCAGAACATACCTCTTAATGAGCCTCTAACAGTCGCTCTACACCTTGAATTTGTTATATTAGTTCTTAACACAGTATTACATGTTGCGGATCGCTGTAGAGAAAAACAAATAGAGGTAATTAGCGATGCAGAAGTTAAAATTTGATTCAGTTTTAGTAGAAAAGCTGAGGAATTTCCTTCAGTTGATATCTTTACAAAGGAGGCCTATCAAATGTCATGTTTATTATACCGTAATATGACTTCAATAAGGAAATTGTGTAGTGGTTCAGCTGAGTGTTGTTGTCTCATTGTGTTTCTCAGCCATTAGCTGGTAAAACGTATCTCCCACAGTACAAGAAATAAAATTATAAGATAAGATAAGTATCAATCCTGAGGGAAATTCTTACAGTCAATAACAATAGAACCAAGAGCAGAAACACGAACAGTGTGGAGTCACAGAGAGTAAAAACAACAACAAAAAAAACCCCTCAACTGCTAAAAAACAAGGTGCTGAAAAGAATAACATTATGAAAAATAAACATAAATACAAATATGATCATTAGTAATAAGGTTAACACAACTTGCAAATGCAAATAGTATTATTGTAGTAATAATCCTCCTATCTGGTAAAGAACATGTGTTTTATTTAAAGATTGCTTCACTGTTGCTGCTTTAAACGCACATACCTGCAGTTCAAAAACAAGACAGTTTCTTTTGTGTTGCCTCACAGAGGAAAGGCCTTTCCTGTCTGTTATGCAACAGCTTGTAACTTTTTTGTGCAATAAAACCTCTGACTGGGTAAAAACAATAGGAGCCTTTTAGGCAATGGACAAACTTTTTCATTTTAGAGGAGTACCCTCACTGCTGATGTATTTCTTGAGGCATTTATTAGGTTTTGGGGACTAAAATCCTTTATGTTGGGCTGGATTGTCTTTTTTGTTCTTGTGGACAGTCTGCTTTGTAGTAATAAACACCATAAAATGAATAAAATTGTAAGTTCATATATTACACACATTAGTTTTTATCATAACAAAAGCTACAGTGAGCTTTAAAAACATTAGAAGCCAACCAGTTTATTGTTAAAGTGTATTGGTATTGATATTGATATACCTTTATTAGTCCCACAAGGGGAAATTTCATAGCAAATATCTATTTGACTTGGCTCTCCTCTGGAAACAACACCTCTTCTTCGTTAGATGGGGTCAGAAGGAAGGTTGTGAAGGGCTCGTCGGAATGGCCTTTGTTCCTTCTTTTGGTCCAACTTGATAATCATTCAAGCTGGTGCCAGTGGCAAAGCTCACCATTCTTTTTTTTATTAACCTTGCTGAGGCTGCCTAAACCAACAAAACACTGCAAAAGTTAGAGTCAGAACTAAAGAACAAAAAAGAATAATAAAAAGTTCAAAGAGTGAGCTTTCAACCCTTCAACTCCACCCCTTCCTTAGAGAGCAAACGCCATCCAGACGTCCTAGTTGCCATATTTCCTCACACAGACACTGTGGCTCTGCGGGCCTGTGCAGCCTTAAAGTTGACCACACAAAAATGTTAAGCCCTGCATGCACACAAACAGACAGCAAAGCTCATTTGTGTCCTTACTTGCTGCTGTGTGCTCCACCTTTCCTTACTGTCCTACTTGAGTAATTGGATTCCCATTGATCCTATCCTAGCTCTAACAGACTTGTGATAAAGCAAATGCTCAGGGAGATTTAAAGCACTCTTTCTGTACAATGCACAATGGGGGCAGAGTGATATTGCATATTCACAAAAGGTCAGCTTTCAATGTCAAAGTTGAAGAGTGAGCTGATAAGACACACCTCCTGTCCATTTAGCTGTCTTGTATTTGTCCTTCCTGCAATCATCCTTCTAACGCTCACAGCATTAAAAGACGCACTCGGCCCCCAAAATCAAATCACAGTCTTAATTCAGAGCACAGTACTCCTTCACGTTTGATCCTGTAGAGGAGTCCAAGATTTATTTTCTGCAAGTTTAAAAAAAAGAGAGAGAGAGAGAGAGAGAGAGAGAGAGAAAGATCCAAGCATACCTGTGTCCTCTCGATGAGCTGCTAGATGAGAGATCAAAGTGTGATGTGCATTCAGACACAAATTCACAAATCAACAGATAGGCAGACATGCATGCTGGAGCTGGCACAGGAGTAACAAGGTAGGCAAGCTGTGCAAAAGTCTCTCTCTCCCCCTCCCTCCTTGTCTAGCTCTCTCTCTCTTTTTTCTCTCTCTCTCTGAGCCACCCTACTTCCCAAATCCATCACATAAGAGCTGGCTGGAGAGGAGTCAGCAGTGACTTCACTGTGAAGCAGGATAAATGTTGTAAGTCAGCTGACTCTGACTCTGAATTAATCAAGGTGTGAATCTTCGTGTTTGCGGTCTCTAAAGGTTGGCAGATGTTAGCGTGAGTAGCATTCGCTTAGGTCAACAGTCTGTGGACTTTTTATGTTCACTGTCCAAACAGCAGATTATCAGTCAGCTCACAGTGTGCACAGCAGGAGCACAGAATGGAAAATGCACGTCAGATGGGGAGAAGAGCCATTTTTAAACCAGAACTTTCCAACTTCTAGTTCCCCCTGCTGGCAAGACACTTCATAAAAGAAGGAGCAACTCCACCAACATGTTTTATTTATTTATCTGCCTTGCACTTATTCTTTTTAACTGTATATATGCCACTCTGCACTCTCAACTACCCCGTGGGGATAAATACAGTTATCTAAATCTAAAAACTATAGCTTTACATTTTAAAACGGAACTCAAGCTCTGTATTTATAATTATCTTGTTTCATCCTCTCATTTCTTCTGCTTTCTCTCTGCTGTTAAACATTTATACAAAGAAAGCAAAATACCACAATAAAGTCTTAATTTTATTCTACAGAGGTATGTTTGAGTTGGTTTGGAAATAGGATGTTAAAGTTGGAACTGCCAGGCAAGAAGAAAAGAGAATGCAGTGAAAGAGGAAACAAAGCGGGTTAGTATGGCACAGGAGAATGCCAACAAAGAAGACCACAATTAAAACCTGAGATGGTTTTCCAACAGTCTTGAAGGAGTTCCCAGAGATGCTGAGCACTTGGTAGCACTTTTGCCTTCCCTCTGAGGTCCATCTCACCCCAAACCATCTCAATTGGATTTAAGTCAGTTGACTGAGGAGACCAGGTCATCTGGTGCAGCACTCCATCACTCTCCTTCTTGGTCCAATAGCCCTTATGTCACAGAGTAGGAATTTGTATTTGCCTTTTATAATTGGTTTTATTCTGATTTTAGTGTTTATTTATGAGTGTAGTTTTTATTTGCATGATTTATTCTGTTTGTATTCCATGTTTTTATATGACATTGTTTTAATCCACTGTGGACTGGCTAGGCAAATTGGCTGATAGCGATCACTTGCTGAGGCATGGGTGTGTCCCGAGGTGGCCTATCAGCTGTTTAAAGGACCTATTAAAAGTGAGCTGGCTGACCACTAATGGAGAGAGGCCCCACATATGAAGAGGAATGCGTGAAGGCGAGTGTGGAAAAGAGGGACCAGCTGCCTGATCGTAGCGTGCGACGGCTCATTTGGAGATGGACCGGTTCCGACAGCAGGGCAGAGGTACACCTCTGCCTGCATTTGTGAATAGTGTCTCCACTGCTGTTCACCAGGTGCAGTCGTGTTGGGAGAGGGTCGCCATGGCCATTAGCCAGGTCAGCTTCCGGGACGATGGTTCTGGCCAGTAAATGTTTACTTAAAGGGCGAATCCACGAGGGGAGCCGCGGTGGCATCGAGCGACAGTGTGTGAGCTGGGCTGGTATGTGACAAGCTAAGTGGAGGGACGAGACGGGGATAGGAGGCTTCTCCTTGTCTGCCTGGGACAAGGCTGGCGTGGTCCCCGCTTTGGAAGAGGAATTTTTGTCCTGCTCATGAACACATAAGGAACATTCATCCTGGGTTGTGGGTCAGTTGCATCGTGGGACTGGGTGGGATTTTAGATGCATGAAGAAAATTGTTGTCATATTAGGCAATTAGGCAGTTTCGTTGTAGCACTTGATGGTCTTTGGGACTGCACTTGGGGACAGATTCAGAGTTTTAGCAATTTTCCAAACTGACTGACCTTCAGTTCTTAAAGTAACAATGGACTGTCATTTCTCTTCCTTTTTTTTTTTTTTTTTTTTTTAAAGCTTAGAGTTCATATAATAACAAGAATCAAATTTCAAATAATGCTGCCAGCTGTGTACCAACCTGACTTCTGTCCCAACCCCATTAAAAAGGTCAAGAAATTCCACAAATCAACCCTGACAAGGCACACCTGTGAAGTAAAAACTGTGACTACATCATGAATTCATTCAATTCATTCAATTCATTGAGAAAAGGCCAAGGGTTTGCAGCACTGGCAACAATGCAAATGGTGGCTACTTAGAGGATTCTCAAATATAAAACATATTTAGAGTTACTTATCAATTTTTTTTCTTTGCTACATTGTTCCATATATCTTGTTTTATATATTTGATGTCTTTGGTATGTGTCTACAGTTTAGAAAGTAGTAAAAATAAAGAAATGAGAAGGTTTGTCCAAACGTTTGACTGGTAGTGTATATTCGAAAACATAACTCCTATTTTGGAATATTGAAGATGCCATAGTGTGATATAGATACGAATAAAGCTAATATAAAGAATATATCATTATATGATTTGTGTTTTCTTACTTCCCCCAGGGAATATAAAGGTATTTACTTTCCTCATTTCAGCATATACAAATACAGTTATAGTAATATTCAGTAATATTGTAGAAATAAACAACTCTAAATAACCTTTTCATATAATTTAAAACAGCTGTAGTAGCAGGCTAATAAAATAAAAAACAAAAACAACCAGAATACAGATAAGAACTTTATCCTGAGAAAATCCTAAGGGAAACTACTATTAACACAGTAAATGTAGTAAAACAACTACAAACAATATTATTATGAAATACATAAACATTATTATATGAATAAAATGTAACAAATATAACATTTTAATTGTTACATCAACTCAACCTTAAACCTTTTTTAAACTGTAGCAATAAAGATTTTTGTTAAGAGATAATGTACAGAAATAAATATATGTACATTTTCTAACTTAAAAATTGATAAGTTATAGTTACGTTTATACTTCACTGTGTCCGTGACACGTTGAAAACTGAGTAAACAGCCACTTTTTTCTTTATTCACTCGTCTCGCTCCTTCCTCGCACTTGACGACCTCTTCCGCCGGAAGTAAACATCACGTGACTCTGAAAATCAGCTGATCCTCCGTAGACATCTTTACGAGTCACGACTGCGGCGATTAATTCAAACCGTCTTCTCTGTTGTTCTCGGGTACATAAATGCCGCTTTAAAGCTTAAATGTTGGGATTAATTTCATTTTCTGAGTAATCGCGGTCTCTGTTTCCATTTAGCGGTTTTTATTATTCGTGATTTTTTAATTCTTACTTTCTCCGGCAGGCCCAGGCGGATCTTTGACAACTGCAGCCATGGCGCTGAGCGATGCCGACGTACAGAAGCAGGTAATGAACCGTTTTCACCTATATAAAGACACCATTTTAACGCTTGTTTTCGCTCGTTAACGAAGCGACTCGTTAGCCTGTTACAAACCTGAGAAATACTTTCAGCCGCTGTAGGATTTACAGGAAGTCGGTGTGTCAAAGGAGAATGACATTGAGAGAGCTGCATAAGGGTTAGCACTGAATTAACACACAAACGGCACCTAGAGGACAATATTTGTTCTTTAAAGGGGTGCTTTTTTTTTTTTTACATAAAATTGACACTTGGACCCAAATAAGCCGCTATTTCTGCAGCTGAGACTTAAGGATGTGATACTGAGGGTCATGCATCTCTGCATGATCACATGATGAACACATGCCAAGAAGGAGGAACTTGGAGTGAGTGAGCCACCGTGTTCTCACTGGAAATCTCCTCAAATATGGAAAATAAGTCTAATAAAAAGTTCCCACTGTACACTGCCATGACCAGGGATTTCTATATCAGTTGGCTGTTTGACACACATTAATAATATATTTAATTTTCAACAAATCTTAATATTAGCTACTTTTGCTGTTATTTAAATAGTTTTGAAACAGCAATTAAAGTGGCAATAAAGGGTTATGGGTTAATAAGTTTTTATATGTTATACTTTTATTTGGTGTCAGAAAATATGATAACACATTCTCAAAGGCCAATGTTTTCCCATGTATCATGGGGTACCAAGTCATGAAGCAAAAGTGATAATTATGTGGCTCAGCGGTCATCATAGTACCATTTTGGATCTTATGGCAGGGAAACTCCCCAGTTCTTAATCCCATCGAGGATTGATTCCTAAAAGGCAGGAGGACGAGCGGAACTTTGAGCTCTGATAAGTCAAGAATGGCTCATTGTCAATCAGAGGAGGGTCAACACTGTAAATACTGACACCGTCCAATATGAAATGCTCATGAGTGTCCCTCGCTATATCTTAGAAATGTGTAAAACCATAAGTATAAAAGTTTAAGCACTAGATTGTATGAAACACAGAATTTGTGTGAAGCCATTGTGGAATTTCTAGTAGTGGGCCATCAGAGGGCGACTCTCCTGGCTGCCAAAACCCCCCAAAAAGATTCATGGTTGTATAGAAATCTGTGGGGAAACAGCTCCTATGTGACCTCAGTGGACACTTTCCTGATGACTTCGTGGGCTCAATTCCTAGTTTCGGGTTACATCGAATAATACATGAAGTTCATTATCTGAATTAATAGAGTTGCTGAACAGTGAGCCCGTGGTTTAAAATTATAGTTTTAATTTCCTCAGTGAGATCCATCCCTCGCTCATCACCTGTTTCTTTGCACAGTTGGTAAAATGACGATGTGCAACAAAATTCACAAACATTTTCACTGAAGCGATGGAAACCGCCCTGGCTTAATCTCATCTTTACCACCCCAGTAAAGATTTTAAGATGCCCTCTCTACCCTTAATGATGAATTTTTGATACCTCAGTACATATCTGTAAGGATGTGATTGGAAAACCATTATAATAGTTTCTGGGTTTATCTAAGAGTAGCTGCATCACTAACTGCTGATGTACACCCAGTCATTTTGTTTGTAAGCAGGCCTGAAATAAGACAGAAACCGCTCAGGTCAGGAAAGGGAAACAAGAGGTATCCCTAATAGGATTCAAAGGAGGAAAGATATAAGAAATCACTGACATTTTGCTTCATGTACACTGAAAAATAACAAAACTCATTGATATCCTGAAGTATTTGTTAGACGTTGTTTTTTGTTGTTTGTTTGTTTTTTGAAGGTGTCTTTTTCCTATCTCAAACCAGAGATGACACACCTCACACAGTAAAATGTACTAATCTTTATGGGATATCTTGATGTTTACCAGACTAATGCTTTGCTATCGTTTTACCAAAAGTTTAATGATGAGTTTCATTTCCAGTGTATTGCATTAGAAAGGAAAGTCACAAGTTGCATTAGGTGCAAATCTTTTTTTTAATGTGAAATAAGCTAAGTATATTTGTCATGAGGGTCTTTGAAGGCTCTGAAAATATCTTCAGATCAACAAAGATCAGATCTAATGTTGTTTAAAGATTAACGTGTATTAGATTTTCCAAAAATCGGATTTGGAGCGAAGTGAAAATAAAAATCAAAGAAGCTGTTTCTATGGGATCTAAATTTTATGGGTTTTTTTATACAACACATGCTTGTTTTTAGTTATATTTTGTTCCCATCCACAGATTAAGCACATGATGGCCTTCATCGAGCAGGAGGCAAACGAGAAGGCGGAGGAAATTGATGCAAAGGTATGAAAACACATCACCACACAGTGCTGTGCACAGATATCAGGCTGGATAGATTTTATGTCTTTATTCGTGAGTCAAAGCTGAGGAAAGACAGGGAATTGGACTATGTGGACAGACATTAAAGGTCACCTGTAACTTTGTCTTCATGTAATTAATGAACTTAATGTTTAGAAGCATCAGGCCTCCTGGCCCCCATCAGACTGTGTGTCATTACATAGATTTATTTAATTGTTTTGTCTTAAGAGGAGAACAAAAAAGCAACAAACCAGCTAATATATGCAATCAATTATTTTTTAAAATTGCAACGTCCATCAGCGGACAGTGCACGTAGTGAAGGAGGACATGTAGAGGGTTGATGTGACAGAGGGTGGTGGAGAAGGGGGCGGATGATGGGAGAAGTCCAAAGTAGAAGAATATCCATCCATGTTCTGCTGCTTTCCAGATGCTCTCCTCAGCCACACTGTCTTCCAGCCCCCATTACTTGTGGTGTTGGTGTTGCCCCCCCCCCCCAAAAAACCTATCTGTAAGGGAGAACTGAGAGACCCATTGG